GGGTAGGCATGTGGATTTCCAATATCACTGAAGTGTTCTACCCATACGTCATGGTAGCAGACCACTATGGGTAGATGGTGAATGGAAAGTTTTGTGTAGCCCCCCCACTGGCCACCAAATAATTGTCCATCCCTAAAAGAATTCTGCCCATCTGTTCAATTTTCCTGTCCTTTTCAACTGATCATTCACACCATAGAGTGCAAAGGGAAAGCAGGTTGTACTCTCCTTTGTTTCTGTCATGAATCCCCTGGATCTGCCATTCACTATGATTGTGTTGGGATCATGATTTTTCAGGTGAACTTGAGATAACACAGTAAGCACTGGCTGAGACAAAAAAAGTGGAAGTTTTTGTAAAGAACTCTCAAGTTCCTACAGGAAAATGATTCAGCTTAAACTCCTAGAGTTAGATCTCTATTTCTTTATTTACATGAAGCATATTTTGAACACCAGTTCACCCCAGGGCATTTGTATCTGCCAAGTCTAGACTGCCTTTTAAAGGTGTTTATGTGTTGAATTTGTTCACTGTGTTTCTCTTTCCTTTTGTGGTGATGCAGCATCTCTGCTGCTGCCAGGCTCTGGTGTGTTTTCTTATATCCTTTGTTCTCAACACCTGAATTTCTGGGCTTCTCTGACTCTCTGACAGACAAATATTGATTTATAATTACACCCACTTTGTAATTAAGACGTATTACTGTTTATTCACTTCCAAAAATCAGATAAGTGGGAAGTGCTTTCTTCCTCTACTCACCATTTGGGAGCCTCCAAACAACACACGGCTGAACAAGAACTGGATATGAGAAAAAGTCAGCAGAAATATTAAAAATTCTTAGAAAAAAACAAGAATAATTTTAGTCCACGGCCAGCGCAGATGGTGAGAACAGTTCGGTCACATGGGAAAATCCTCAGGGAGTTTAAATTAAAGACAGAGTCACCATTTTGTGAGGTTTTACTGAAAAGGGGAGTGGGGGAGAAAAAATGCAAGAGAGTGAGCATGCTAGGGAGAGGGCTTTAATAACTGGGAAACAAAAAATGAAAGAATTCTGGGTGAAAATCCCATCCAATGAAGGTCAAGGGGAGCAGTGTTGCAAGGTCAGTTGCGATGATTGGATCTTTGGGGCAGTGGCGAGACACTCCTCCACACAAACTCTGGAACCCAAGAAGGGTGGGGAAAGCTCTGCCACATTAAAAGTGACTGAGCACTTCACACCCAGCTGGGGAGGAAACTCAGTCATGTGCAAAGATGGTCTCCCACAAATAATGATACAACATACCAAGAATCTGGGATTCTTAGAATACAGATCTTAAATATATATATATATATATATATATATATATATATATATATATATATATATATATATATATATAATTAAATGCCTACATTTAAAATAGAAATATCCCCCCAAAAAATCTAATGCTACATCTCAAGGCCATAGGCAACCAGGATCAAACTAATTCTATGTCCATTAGATGATAGGAATTAATTAAAATATAAATAAATGAAATAGAAAATGAAAAAAACAAAACTCCCAAATTCACAGGATTAATGTAACAAATTGTTGATTATTGGAAAAAATAAAGAAGGCTGAAGGCTGATAAACCATTATCTAATTATAAGAAAAAGAGGAAAGAATCATATAAAGAAAATTATTGCTACATGGGGACATATAACCACAGACATTTTTGAAATACAGAGGACCATTAAGGACTATTTTAAAAACTTATTTTCATATACATTAGGAAATCTAGATGGTATTGACAAATTTGTAAAAATATGTGATTTACCTAAACTTGAGCCAAAGTGTATAGAAAAGCTAAGTGGATCAATAAAAAGCAATATGATTGAAGCAAAAATAAAGACCCTTGTGACAAAGAAAATTCTGGTGCTAGTTGGATTTTTGGCTGCATTCTATGAGATCTTTAAAGAAGAGACCTTCTCAAGACTCTCTAACTTGTTTCATGAGATAAAAAGGTGGATAATATTTACAGATTTATTCCATGAAGAGAATAAAACCCTGATATCAAAACCAGATACTGATAAATCAAGGAAGGAAAACTGCAGACCAACATCCTTGCTGTATCTCATATTAGATAAAGTGGACTGCAAGCCAAAATTGATCAGAAGAGACAAAGAAGACTATTTCATACTGCTTAATGGATCTACAGATTTAATGCCATCCCCATCAAAATGCTAATGAAATTCTTCACAGAACTGGGAAAACAGTCCTAAAATTCATTTGGAAGAATTAAAGATGTAGAATGTCCAAAACAATATGAGCAATAAACAAAATGCTGGAGGCATCACAATGTCCTTTAACTTATATTACAGAGCTATAGTAACAAGACCAGCATGGAACTGGCATAGAGGTAGACATGAGGACCAATTAAACAGAACAGAAGACAGAGAGAAAAATCCACATAAATACAGTCATGATCCTTGTCAAGGGGTGTTGAAAACATACAGTGGAGAAGATAGTCTTTTTAAGAAATGGTCCTGGGAAAGCTGGATATTCATATATAGAAGAATGGAATTATATCCCTACCTCTCATCCTATATAATAGTCAAGTCAAATTAGCTCAAGGACACAGAAGTTAGAACAGAAACTCAGCAACTGCTAGAAGAAAACATTAGTTCAACATTCCAACATATTGGTGAAGGTATAGATCCTACAGCATAAGAAATAAAACAAAGAACCAATAAGTGGGATGGTATGAAATTTTAAAAACAAATTGCAGAGCAAGAAAACAAGAACATGAAGAGAGATCCTACTGAATGGGAGAAAATATTTGCCAACTGCTCTTTCTACAGGGAATTAACATTCATAATACATAAGGAACCCACAAAACCTTAAAATCAGAAAAATTCATGATCAATAAATGGGCAAAGCAAATGAGACATATTTCTCAAAAGAAGAAATACAAATACATAAAAAGTTTAATATCCTTAGCAATCATGGAAATGCAATCTTGGGTTCCAGAGTTTGTGTGGAGGAGTGCATTTTTCTACACTGGGATTTAATCTCACCCCAGTGAGAATGGCATTCATCAGTATACAAATAGCAATAAATGCTGATGAGAATGAGGGGGAAAATACACTTATACAATGTTGGTGTAACTGTAAACTCCTACAACCACTGGGGGCAGCAGTATGGAGATCACTCAGAAGACTAGAAAAAGAATCACCACTCCTATCTATCTATCCACAAAAACTAAAATCAGCATTCTATAGTGATACACGCATACCTATATTTATGGCAACACAATTCACAATACCCAAGTTATGGAACCATCCTTAATGTCCATCAACAGATAAGTGGATAAAGAAAATGTGATATATACGCAAAGTGGAGTTTTACTTGATCAAAAAATTAAATTAAGTCATTTTCTGGTAAATGGATGGATCTGAAGCACATCAACTAAGTGAAATACATCATACTTTAGAAGATCAATGGTCAAATGTTCTCTCTCATATGCAGAAATGAGAGAGAAAAAAGAAATAAAAAAGGGCTATCACAAAAATGTGAGACCCATAGAGTAGTGACAGGAAATGTAAATGTAATGAAAGGGGAGGTATGTAAAAAATAAATTCAACTAAATTTTGGTATTGCCATGAAAAAAGGTACCACAATGAATCCATTTTTATATATAATTAAAACCACTAATTAAAATATAATAGAAGAGAGACCAGTGGAGGAGAGGAAGGGGATCATGGTGAGGGAGTAGGGAATGGAGAAGGGCAGATACTGGGGAATAAGATAGATAAATTATGCTGTATGCATCTATGAATGTGGCACCATGAATCCCAGTATCATATATAGTTATAATAGATTAATAAAAATTAAGTTTTAGTTTGACTCTGCCACTTCCTATTTTAGGGACTTGATAAAATTTATATTATTTTAGTACAATTTTTGGTAATGACCACTATTATGCTCTATCTCTGTACTTTTTTTGAAAACTGAAATTATATAGTGACTATGAAGATGCTTGATGAAAACTAAATGTATTCCATAAACATAAAACAATGAAACAATAAAGACATTTCCATCACATCAGGAAGCACTTGAAGATTAGATAGCCACAACTATGCCATGTAGTTTTGTGTGTAGCTTTCAATGAAAAATGCCCAACAGAGAATATTTGGGTGAGTTATAACTTTGGAAGTGATAATGGATGAGAGAAAGAACATATTTCCATCTATAGCTATTTAATGAAGGAGGAGCACTGTTTCTCCAGTTGGAAAATATAGGATGCCTGGACATCTTACATAATTTTTTCCATAGATCTTCTTCCTTTCCTGTCTTTAGAAAGCCTTAAGACAGGCTTTGATGTTCTTCCTCCCAAGAGGCTGGCTCAGTGGAGGAGGCCCATTTGGTGAGGAATGACTCTCAGACAGATGATTACAGATTGAGAGAGTGAGATGATTTCTGGCAGACAAGAGGGTGTACCCTGTGGTGCACTCATCCATGATGTCATTCATCCTCATAACAAATCTGCAAACTGATGACGTTGCTGTCCCCATTACATAGATGAGAGTGTCCAGGCAGACTGAGCTGTTTGTGTATCAGATTCCATCAGAGTGGCAGGAGCAGGAGTGCTTCCAGTCTGCATGGGACCTTCAGTAAGCAAAAATATTTTAAGGTGCTTATTTTAGGAAAAGAACACTTTATAAATCAACATTTCTTTTGCCTTTACAAGTAACTTGGAGAAGGTCTGAACAGCCAAGTGTCCCTCATGCTTCAGTGCTATGAGTGCCATAGTCAAGGTGTGTCCAACCAAGAAGGCTGCTAATAGGAAGGACTCCATGTCTGCCATCCCAGCTGTGCAGGTGTACTGCATGCAGGCATCATTTCCTGTTTGCCCAATTATGGTACCAGGCAACATGACAGTGTGTTTCTTGGCTTAATTGAGTAACTGGTAGGTATTAGATTGAAGGAGAATGAAGGTAATGTGGTAAATACCATGTTAGAGTTGACTACACTTCTATCATCTTTGATCAGGTGGATGTCAGAATCAGCTCGGTGGCTGATTACCAACAACAAACCCGAGGAGAGCTTACAGGAACTTAAAAAAGCTGCAAGGGTGAATGGAACGAAGACTTGTGCAGATGCCTTAACCATGGAGGTGAGCAGGATGGGAGGTGCTTTTGAGACAAGGAAGACATAGCCTGACGTATTATTAATAGGTGTCCAAAGATGCAATATGCAGTCACTGAAAAGGTTGAACACAGATATTTTATTCAGAGGAGGCAAAGAGCCCATTTTTTCTTTCTTTTGCTCCTCATAATCAATTCACATATCTCCTTCCACAGGATTTTATTCTTTATATTTGATTACTTTTCATTCTGACAAGTAACCCTGTATGTTTTTATATTTACAGTGTGATGTTTTGAAGAATATATACAGGGTAGAATGGTTAAGTCTAGCTAATTAAACCAATTAATTAAACTAATTAATTAAAAGTCTTAATAAATCAACAGTATAGTCAGCTTTTAGTGGCAGTGACCAAAATACCTGACAAGAACAATTTTGCTCAGGAAAAGTTTATTTTAGGCTCACAGTTTCAGAGGATTCAGTCCATTGTCAGCTGACTCTATAGGTCTGGTCCAGTGGCAAGATGAAACATTCTTTGCAGAGGGCTTTGCAGAGGAAGGCTGTGCACTTCATGCCTATCATGAAATTAATAGAGAGAAGAAGGAGTCTGAAACAAAGCATTATAATCCCTAGGGTATGTCCCGAGTGACCCACTTCCTCCAGCCAAACTGAACCTGCCTACAGTAACCATTGTAATAAATTCAAAATTTCTAATGCTTCAAAAGGATTAACCCACTCACTAGGTTATTCATCTCATCATCTAATTATTTCATCTCTCAATACCACAGGAAATTTGGGGGGACCCTTCATATCAAAAACCATAAAAACCAATAATTAGTTTAAATGTCACAAGTCAAAAATGCATTTAATACATGTCACCTACTGAATACTTTGGTATAAAAACACAGTACCTGGTAGAGTATTGGTTGTTACCCTAAAGATCATGTGGATGGTGGGAACTGTGGCTCACTGCAGGTGCCTAACATGTTGAAAGAATGTAATGGAGTACCCGGAAACAAAAGATCAAGGTTCAAAGTGTAGTTTCTATAAAATGTATATAACATTTGTACCTCGGCAAAGTTGAATAATTTTCAGTTGTGATATAATAAATTTTATTTTTTCAGTCATCTGTTAGCTATCTATTTATTTATCTTAATTTTGGAAATTGAACCTATTGGTGCTTTACCACTGAACTACATCCCCAGTCCTTTTATTTTTTTGAGACAGGCTTCTACTAAGTTGTTGAGGCTAGCCTTAAACTTGTGATGCTTCTGCCACAGCCTCATGATTTCCTGGGATTACAGACATGCACCATCATGCCCAACCTATTCATTCGTCTGTTAATGAACACTTGAGTTGGTTACATATCAGGGCTATTGTAAATGATGATATATAAACTTATGAATGCAGATGTCTCCTTGATATACTGATTTCATTTCCTTTGGACATATACCCTGAATATAGCAATCATATTTTTAATTTTTTGAAGAAACTCCATACTATTTCCCATAATGATTGTAATAATTTTCATTTCCATAAACAGTGTGCAAGTGTTCCCTGTTGTTTACATTCTCATCCACATTTGTAATCCTTTGGTTTTTTGATAATAGCCATTCTAAGTGGAGGGAGGTAAATATATCATTGTAATTATTATTCTGATCACCACTTGAAATCCTTTTTTTTAATAATAGTTTTTCCAAGTGGGGAGAGGAAAATATATCATTATAATTATTCTTTTCTGTTACTAGGGATTGAACCAAGTGTTGCTCTGTCACTGAGATACATCTCCAATATCTCTTGCACTTTCGTATTTTGTGAGAAGGGCTCATTCAATTGCCCAAGCTGGGCTCAAATTTACAATTCTCCTCCCTCAGCCTCCCAAGTATCTGGGCTTACAAGCACATACTGCCATGCTCTGCTTGATTGTAGGATTGATGTGCATTTATGGCATAATTAGTGATATCAAATATTTTTTGTACCTATTTCCCATTCACAGGTTTGGTTGAGATCTTTTGTCCATTTTTTTTTTAATTCAGTGGTTATACTCCTGACTGCTAATAAGAATCCTTGTTTGTGTTGGGGGATCAGATGCTGCAGCCTGTAGTTTGAAGTGTTCCAAGTGATTCTGAAGATTGTCTTCTCATTTTAATTTCAGATTCGTTTTATTACATTTTTGTATTTTCATTCATTTTTGGTTATTTAATCATTTGGATTTCTTGTACCTGTTGGGGATAAATGCCTTGTCAGAAGCATAGTTGACAAATATCTTCCTCTCTCTGTATGTTGATTCTTCAGTATGTTCCTTGCTTCCTTTTCTGTGTAGAAGTTTTTTAGTTTGACCTAATCCCACTTGTCCATTTTGACTTTGGTTCCCTTTTGTGCTCTCATCTAAAAAATGTTTGTCCACACCAAAGTCATGGAGTTTTATTGCATGTTTTCTTCTGGTAGTGTAATGGTTTGGGGGCCTTCCATTTAAGTCTGCAATCTATTTTGGATTGATTTCCCTATGTGGTGAAGATGCGGGTCTGACATCTATCTTCAGCATGTGAGTATCTAGTCTCCCTAAGACCATTTTTGAAGAGAAATTTTCTTCTCCATTTTTTTATACTTAGCACTTTTTTTTTTGAAATCAGTTCAGTGGAAATATGTAGATTTATTTCTGGGCTCTCTGTTCTGCTTCACTGCTCTAAGTCTTTTATCTTGCCAGTACCATGCTGTTTTGATTACTATGCCTTGATAGTATATTTTGAAGCCAAGTGGTGTGATACTTCCATGTTTATTTCCATATTTTTGGTTTTATTTTTGTGCCTTTTTTTGCACAAGATAATTTGACTATTCAAGAGCTTTACTGATTTCAAACTATTTTGGAAATATATTTGGAAAAATATTTTTCTGTTTCTGTAAAAAAATGTCATTGGTATTTTGATAGAGATTGCATTGAATCTGTGGCTACTTTTGAAGAACATGAACATTGTAACAATGTTAATTCTTTCAGTACATGAACAAAGACATTTGTCTATTTATTTGTGCCTTTTTCAATTTTTTTCACAAATATTTTAATTTTTGTGAAAAAATTATATTTTTATAATTTTATTATAATTTTTATAATACAGATTTTGCAACTTCATGGATAAATTTATTCCTAGTTACTTTTCTGTAGCTTCTGTAAATGCACTTACACTCTTGACTTCTTTTTTCACATTTCACAAATTGAGTTTTTCACAACAAATTGATGCCACCACTATAAATAACAATATGAAAATTCCTCAGAAACTTGAATAGAATTATTTGATCCACCTGTCCCACATCTTGGTATATGCCCATAAATGAATAAATAAATAAATAAATAAAAATTTTAATCTCAAGAAGATATCTGCATTCCCATGTTCATTGTGGAAATACATGAGTAAGTTCTAGAAAGCCGCTGAATGGAATGATGACAATAATACTGTATTATGTACTTAAAAAATTTCTAAGAGGGTGGATTTGTGCTAACTGTTCTTATCAAAATAAATAGTAAAAATGAATATAGAGGACTGGGATTGTGGCTCAATGGTAGAGTGCTTACCTTGTACATATGGGACCCTGGGTTTGATCCTCAGCACCATATTAAAAAACAAGTGAATGAATAAAATAAAGGTAGTATGTCCAACTACAACTGAAAAATAAATATTAAAAAATGAATACAGAGTGCAGGAAGAAATTTTTAAGTGATTATATATATGGATGGATATATTTTGGTGCCAACTTCACAGGTATGCAGTTATGTCCAAAATACTTAGATGCATTGTTAAATATGGGCAATTTTTAAATTATTAATTATATACTAATAAGGTAAGTTGAGAAGTCAAAAAATAGTTATCAACATCATCTGTCTATGATCACAGTCACAAACATCTACCCAAAGCTCATTTATTTTGTTTTATTTCTCTACTGGTTCTTTCATGTACGCTTTCTTGGCTTCCAAATGCATTCCATCTTGTGTCTGTGCCTTTTGCTCTGCTTCCTCGTATATTTTTTTCCTTCCTTGCACATCCTTTCTGAGTGTGTTCCATGATTCCCTGTGACATGTCCTTTGACAGGGGACAAAAACATTTATAGCTTCCACCCTCACAAGGATCAGTGGGCTTGATAAAGCCCCTGAACGGTCAAGTAAGGGTGCAAAGTGAATCCCAAGGATGGAAACCTAAACTTGATGTAGGGATGGGAGCTGTGAATGCATCTTAAAAAATGCAGTGTCTGAAATGTGCCTTTAAGGTTTGGGTAGAACTAGTCAGGTTTAAACATTCAGGGATTTGGTTATTTGAAGTTGAGTGCAGCCCAAATGACTTCAGAAGGGCAAGGTCAGTGGTGTCCTGGTAAATGTTTAACTTCAACATTTAAAGATTTTTCTTTTTAAATCCTAGAGTCCAAGAATTGTGGCAATCATTAATTTTTGTAGTTTGCTTACTTTCCCCAGAGTCTATTTTAGCCTAAACACATGATGTCAACAGGTTCATAACCATTTAAATGTTTAATAAAGAGTTCTTGTAAATCCGTATGAACTGACCCTGATGCACCTTTGTGGGCAAGACTGCAGAGATGAGACTGTTTCAGGATTTTCTAATGATGCGATGATTAGCATAGAATGAAATTTATAGAGAAAGATGCATTTGTAAAATGTGAACAACCAGCAAACCCTTATTTGAATATGTGCTGCTTCCTCTCAACGTAAGGGTTACCGGGGAGAATACACTTGTAGAACTGCCTTGTCAGCTAGCGTTGCCCACCTAAATATCTCTGGATGCACCACTCATTTCTGTTAGCTCATCAAGAATGAGTACCTGGTAACAAATTAAGCCAGCATGCCCTGATATTTTACTCTGATATTGGACGGGGTTGAAGGCCAGTCTCAGGCACTGCAGCCCGCATCTAAGACAGATTTAAGGTCTTCTTGCAGCCAATTCTTATAATACCATAATAACAATGGCCAGTGGTCATGGGTTTATGTGTTGGATGCAGAAGGTATTACCACAAATGTATCTCTAACAAGCATAAATCCTGTATTCCACTGTTGAAGCTAGAGTTGGAAGCTCCAAGGCCATTTCTGATGGTGCAAGTTTCCTCAGTCATGGGAGTAGGTCCAATTCTCAGCATTCCCTTCAACATGAAAACTTTCTGATTACATTTGTAGTATTATTGCATTTGTAGAGGAGGCATGACAATGGACTTAATCTTTCTGAATAACTAATAAATTAATAAGTCTAAGAGTTCTGCTAGAAGTAGATTGATATGTATATTATAACCTACTAAATGACATAGAAAGTGTTTGTGGGGAAGGCATTATTATTTTGTTGGTTTTCTTACTTCTCCTGATCCTAATTCTTTTATTTCTTCTTCTTTTCAATGACAAGGAAATTGAGGTATAGTGATAGCCATCACCTTGCCCAGGGTATACAACTAGCAAGTGGCAAGGCCAATAACACTTCAGTGTAAAAGCAAATCTGAGTTTAAATCAATTTAAACTAAAATCCCCTCTGATTCAAAACTCAAGTTTAATTCTAGGCTTCTCTTTCATGGAGAAACAACATGCAACATATTCTATAAAATAGGATGACTCAAAAACTAAAAACCAAAAAATGAAAAAATAAATTGCCAGGAAATAATTCTTCTTCCTGAGATATGAAATGTATTCTCCAACCATTAGTAATTAGTGGAGAACAAAACTCCATTTCCAACTCTTCTAGAGTCATCTGGTATAAAAGGGGCTTTGAATTGTAATCTCACTAACTCATCATTTGGTTTCCTTCCTCAGATAAATCTCTAACATAAATTCTCTTTTCAACGTTCTATACTCTTTTAGAGTTTACTTCTTAATATGTTCTCATTGTACAACTTCCCTGAGGTTCCTTGAACTCCTGAGTTCACCTATCACACCACTTTCATGCCTGCCATTGTTTTAATATTTATACTTTCCACTATTTAGGATGGTTATTGACCTTACCTTCTGTGGGTGGCCAATGCTTCCACACTACCCATTGTTTTCTGACAACTGAACAATTTGTTGTCTCTGTTATTATTGAAGGCTGTGAGATCCACCATAAAGGAGGAATTGAAGGCAGCACAGACAAAACCTTCTCTGTGCAACTTGTTCCACACACCCAACCTGTGTAAACGGATCTGTCTCCTGTCCTTGGTGAGGTAGGCTTCACATCATGCTTATAAAAAGAGTGGAGAATGAGTTTATTTCTTATTTCAATTGGGCAATATATGGTGAACACAGCTTTGGATATGAAAGATGAGAAGGATTTAACGAGCATTGCTATGGCCAGGGCTATGGTCAGAGTTATGAAAAGCTTGACACAGAACCATTATACAGTGAGTTCTATTTATCATATCACACTGCCAGACTCACACCAGAGACAGATGCTGCAAACTTCAATCATGTACAGACTTTGACTCGGATTTTCTTCATTGTTTGCTTTAATGGAGATAAAATTTGAAATAGTGAATTACAGACATATATGTAACCCAATGAGTAAATATGTACATATGTAAAGATATATCTATCACTCAGATCAAGAGCAGGAAAAACTCTAAAATCCTAAAGACCCATCTTATATTTACATTTCTGACATCTCTCCAAAATAAACATCTGATGGCCTCATCATATATTTGTTTTATTACAATTATAAAATAATCACTTGCATGCACATATTACAAGAAAAAGATAGTTTGCATTTTTAACACCAAAAAGTAACCGTTCTTATAATACCATCATTTAAAGTATATAAGTGTTAACTCTCAATGCATGTGTCTTTCCTGTGTGTTTGTTACAGATTTTTAGTATGGCTACCCACTTTTGGCTTGATTATCCACCTCCAGCACCTGGCAAGCAATGTTTTCCTGATCCAAATTCTCCTTGGTGTAGTCACACTCCCAGCCAATTATCTTTCACTTTGGGCCCTGAATCACAAGGGCCGTCGAATAAGCCTGTGTTTTTTCATGACCACGTTGGGAATCACCTTTCTGGTCAACACATTTGTGCCTGAAGGTAAGGAGAGAGACAGGGTAAAAAAGGAAAGATCTTTCCCACTTTCCTGAGGATTTTTCAGCTTGCACCTACAGGAATCAGAAGAATTGGGTTCTAAGTGTTCACTGACACAAGTTGGGCATTTAGAACAGATTCTGCCATCCAGTACTTGGAAAACACCTAAAGGTCAGTAAAGTTTGTTTCAAATGCATGATTATCTTCATTATGGTCAAGAAGTACCTGTAAAATGGTGCCACCGTGTTCTGAGCTTCTCTAAGTTTCTCTGAGCTTCTTCTCTTGGCCAATCACACTTCCTTGCAAACATGTAGGGTTTAGACTTATCATTATAAGCTAATGTGACCACACTGTATTGTTACTTTTTCTCGATGGCTCTGTCTTATTACTTCACCTTCAGTGACAATCTATACTTGAACTCTATGTGTCTACACATGTGCCTCATCTCAGGTCACCACAAATGCCATTCTGGTTTTCGGGAGTTATTTTGACTTAAGAAAATAAACCTTTGGGTTCCAGTAGAGAATATGTGACAGCAGTGACAGCATATCCATCACTGTGCTTTGCTGAACTCCTGTGTTGTAACTTATTTTACAAAATCCCACATTGGTGGGTTCCACTCCTCAGTCTCTCTCTTTGGTATCAGGGATTGAACCCAGTGGCATTGAACAATTGAGCCACATCCCCAGCCCGTTTTATTTTTAGCCACGGTCTTGATAAATTGCTTAGGCCCCTGATAAGTTGCTGAAGCTGGCTTTGAACTTTTGATCCTCCTTCCTTAGCCTCCTACAATGCTGTGGTTACAGGAGTGCACCATCACACCAGGCTACAGGCTTCACTCTTCTTGAGTTTGAACAATGATGTCATTTTCCTGGCTGTCACAAAGCCTCCTCCAAGGTTTAAAGCTCTCATGAGATTCTTTTTTTTTTTTTAAAGAGAGAGAGAGAGAGGAGAGAGAGAGAGAGAGAGAGAGAGAGAGAGAGAGAGAGAGAAGAGAGAGAGAGAGGAGAGAGAGAGAGAGAATTTTTTAGTATTTATTTTTCAGTTTTCGGTGGACACAACATCTTTATTTTTATGTGGTGCTGAGGATCGAACCCAGCACCCCGCGCATGCCAGGCAAGCGCGTTATCACTTGAGCCACATTCCCAGCCCCAAGAGATTTTCTTTTAATTGAGTAGAAAACCAACTTTATGAAAAGTTTCCAAAGTCTGTCATGTTTTCTATAATAGAAGTTTTTATTCTTGAGTCTTCAAACATTGATCTAGATCTGGCTACTCTCCAGCTTGTCCATTAATATGGGATTCCTGTCCTTTCATGACTGTCTTTTACAGTCTTTATCCCATGTCAGTACTGTGCATGGAGCATGGTTTTCAACCCCATGAGTGCCTGAGTGAGTCTGACACCCCTCAGTAAATCACACACGACAATCCTACCTTCCATTCAAAGGATAGAGACATTGTACAGAAAAAGAAAGTGATTTCCTCCTAAATTCAGCATCCTCTCTTCTCCTTTGACAAATCTGGAGAGGCAAAGAGAATGAATACAATTATTCAGAACTTTTATTCATCATAAATTGAACTTTGCATATAAGTCACATCTCGTCCTCACAAACTTCCTCGGTGCAGTTTTTCCACAGTATATTTTACACTGTGAACGTCTCCAACAGAAGCATTTTTTGTTTGTAAATTGGAGAATGAAGATTCCTTCATCTCAGATTTCCTAACTTTCCTGGCTCTTCCTCTTTCCAGAAATGCAGACCGTGCATATGATTCTGACAACTTTGGGAGGAGGAATTTCTTTTGCCTCTGTTACCTGTTCTCTTACCCATACAAATGAACTGCTCCCCACCGTCATCAGGTACAAAATTTCATAGGTTCTTCGTGAAGGTTAAAACAGTTCTTTCTCAGCTCTATGACTCATCAAGGGAAGAAAACGAAAGTAATCAATGGTGATGATAACAATTATAGCCAAAGTTTACCCAAAGTTAGCTTTTTCTAGGTATTTCTAGGTGTGCTAATATACCACTAATGTACATCTCCTGTATTCTTTGGAGTAACCTAAATTGAAGATGCTATTGGGCAACTCACAATAGATAAATTATAGGAACAGCCCAGATGCCCATCAACAGATAAGTGAATAAATAAAACATGGTACATATACATAATGAAGTTTTATGCCGCCATAAAGAAGAATAAAATTGGGGCTGGGGTTGTGGCTTGGAGGTAGAGTGTTCGCCTAGCATGCATGAGGCACTGGGTTCAATCCTCAGCACCATGTAAAATAAAATATTGTGTCCACCTATAACTAAAAAATAAATATTAAGAAAATTATAAAAAAGAAGAATAAAATTATGTCATTTGCACGTAAATGGATGGAATTGCAGAGGACCATGCTAAATGAAATAAGCCAGAATCAGAAACTCAAGGGTTTAATATTTTCTCATATATGGAAGCTAGAAAGAAAAACGTGAAGAACAAGAATTTTTATAAAAATAAAAGGGAGACCTCTAGAGCAGAGAATAGGCATTGGAGTGGAGGAACTGTACAATGAACTTGACCGGATTATGGGCCTATACAAATGTATCACAACAAATCCCATTATTTTGCATAACTGTAATGTACCAGTAAAGATAAAGTAAGTATGTAATAAAGTAAATGAGTAATAAAATAACATAACATAAATGATTAATGGAATTTTTAATAATAAAACATGTCTTTGTAGTCTGTGAACTTGATAAAGGTTGCTAGCAGATGAAACAAAATTTCAAAAGCAAGAGCAAGTCATCAATCTTCACATGCCCAAACACACTCCTTGTTGTCTCTCATAATTAATGAAAAAAGGTGACACAAATCCAACTGCATTCTTACCAGGTTAATTTTTTATTGTTGTTTGTGCTCCAAGGGCAACAGCTTTAGGAATCATTGGAGTTTGTGGTAGTTTGGGGTCAGCCCTGGCACCCCTGTTGATGATCCTGGAGACATATGCTGAACCCTTGCCCTGGATCATCTATGGAGCCTCCTGCATCTTTGCTGGCCTTGTTGTCTTCCTCCTTCCAGAAACCAGGAATCAGCCTCTGCCTGACTCCCTCCAAGATATAGAAAATGGGTGAGTGAGCCTCCTCATGGTCCCTTAGAGGAGTTATGTATCACAGGTCTGAGATGAGAAGACAAATTCCCCTGGGGCCATTATGGCTTGGCAATCTCAGACTTACTCTCTTTCCAAGTGGTCAGTGCCATTGGTTTAGTAAAAGCAACATCCTTTAACCAGTGATATCAGATGTCCCCCTGAAGATCTCTAGATCACACAAGCCAGTTCTTCCCAAACTGCCCCAGTAGGTTTAGTAGTAAATATGATACAATTAGGTCTGCTCAGTCCTCTCTGCTCCAATGTAGCACATACCACTGAACATATCTCACGAACATGCACAAATACAAATGCCAAGTCTCACCTGACAGGTCCTACTATTCTGCGACCCAATGAGTGCTGGTAAACTGTCTGGCATTGTCATTTTTTATAAGCTTGAGCTCTTCCCTGGTCACTGAAGAACCCAGGGGAGAACACATACAGAAATAGGACCCCTTCCACAGGTGACAATATATCTAAGGGGAGGAGTCTTCATGTGTTGCCTGTGAGATTCAGACCATCTGGTTTTCACGAGGAATGAAAGTGTTCAAAAAAGAAAAGAATGCAATAGTAAATAAAGACCTTTTTTAAATGATGAAGGATTAGGGAAGATATTTAAACTTTTGTGTACTTCCCTTGATTTATCCAAAGACTCCTTTGGAGAATGACATGATAGCCAAGGATGACAGTAGAAATTATCAAAGCTTCCTTCCAAATACTGCCAGGAATATTTGTCTTTTATTTTACAAGATTTACTCAGGTCCTTAAACAGGTGTCATGGTTTGTTTGTTTGGTTGTTTGTTTTTCACCAAGGTTGGTGGGGAAAAGATCAGCTTGCTCTAAGGAATGCAGGAGATATATTCTTTCTCCATGTCACTTTGTGTTTGTGTTTCTTTCATTGTGGTTTTTACTGTATTTGTTCTAGGGGGAAAGACTCAAGAAAAACAGAGCAGGAAGATACCTCCATCAAAGTGACACACTTCTAAGGAATTCCAGGAATTGACAACTGATCAAAGAGCAAGATAAAAGAAGAAATATCAAGATCACTCCTAGATACTAGCAAAACATATTTAAATAAATAGATGCAATAGTAATAATGAATCCCATTTACAATTGTGATGCTAAATTTTGTATACAAGATGCTTTATGAATCACAAGAAGTTCAAAGCAACTACAATACTTTGAAATACATGAGAAACTATTTACATGGTTGCAGATACCTAAAAGGTTTTGGATAGGGAGATGGAATTAGCTTAAAAACATTTTTCCTTATGAATTTATAGGAAGAGTATTTTATTGGATAATTATAATGAAGAACTCCACTTTCTGGAAACAACTTGAAACAATAGTTACAAACATCTAAAAATTATTCCTAGTATGTGAGTCAGTTTTTTGTCTTTGCAACAAAATACTGGAGGTAAGTGACTTAAATGAAGGATAGATTTACATTGGCAAACAGTTTCAGGATTCTCTTTCCATGGTTGCTTGGCCCTGTTGCCTTGGGTCTATGGAAAGTGAAAGTATTATATTGAGGAGTCCATGGTGGAACAAACCTGCTTACCTTATTGAAGACAAGAAACAGAGGAAGTCACCAGGATCCGGAATATCTCTTTCAAGATCACACTCCCAGTGACATAAATCACTCCAACTAGGTACAACCTCCTGAAGTTTCTACCACCTGTCAATCATACCACCTGTGGGGAGTCATCCATGAACTGTGCTTGGTGAATTCAAATGACTTGAAAGCCATTAAGCAGAAAAGTCTGTTAGGAATTTGCAGCAGCAACCCTGCTGGTTTGAGAATGCCCAGTTCATGTGACTTTCTACCTAGCTCTGTCAGAGGCTCACCATAGCACTGGAGATGGGCATGACCCCTGAAGAACTGAACAGACTGCCTCCTCCCACACCTATCCGTTTTTTTTTTTTTTTTTTTTGCAAAAAAAGCTCCTATTGATCCCTTTTGATCTGTATCACTATAAATAAAGCAAGTGGGGGTGGGGGAGAGTTGGGGGGTTCCTTTCTCTTGTTAGACGCTGTACCCTCTGGTCAGCTTAGCCCATCACTGCCCACTCTCTGAAAACTTATTTCTGATCTCTCATGTTTACTTCCTTGTACTATTTTCTTTGCTTTATTTCACACGAGTCCATCCCATTTCCTTCACCCACAAGGTATGTGAGCAAGAACTTGCCTAGAACAGGGACTGTTCACAAGGATTCCAAAATGAGAAAGAGTACAGGTGGGTGCTTAGTCCTCTCTCACAGGAAATTTTCATGATTAGCTTATTAAGAGAAAGAGGAGAGAGGATTTTTTTTTTTTATAGCGTGATGTTAAGCATGGTGAACTCACTCTCTACAGAGAGGGAGAGTTACTTAGCTATTCTTAAAGGTATCATGAAGCAAAAGGAGAAATCTGTGAAGTGAGCTCAACTTGCCCAGCTCCTACAGGTGATTAGGGAAGCTTGTCTGTGGTTTTCTGAGGAAAACTTCGTTTGATTTGCATACTTGGGAAAACTCTGCAGGGAGCGGCATGCTGGTTTTATTTCAGCTAATAGGCCTAGGAGCACAATCCAGAAAGTAGAAAGAATTTGGACTGTGATAGAGACTTGTTTATATTCAGACCAAGATATTGGACTATTTAATCACTGCCTTTGAAATGTTGTTATAAGTCTTAGACCTACTGGACAAACCTGCCTACCTTCCAGGTCTTCTCTGATTGCAGAAAACATAACACTTGGTAGATGAAAAGAAGACCTAAGGATGGAGGTAAAACGTGCTCCATTTGTAGCTGGTAAAAAGCAGAGAGAGAACCTAAGGACAGAGTCAAAGCACCCTGCATTTGTAGTGAGATAAAGGCAGGGAAACAGCCCAGAGGTAGAGCCAGAGCATGCTTCATTAGACAAAGCCATACAGGAAGATGGGGGAGGGATCACTTTGCTGGACTGTGAGGAAGACTCTGTTCTGAGGAGGAGGATGAATTGACAGCAGACCTCCATAATTTGCATTTGAATTATCCTGCTCCAGAGATCCACCCTGTCCCTTGGGGAAGACTAAAAATCAGGGTCCCTAATATGGTGGCTACAAAAGTTACCCTGCTTCAGCAGAACTTTAGTGCCACCAGAGTGGCAGAAGAAGATTTATCGGGATTTAAATTATATCCAATATTTGAGCAATTAGATCTGCAAAATCCAAATCAAAATATATGTATCCATGCAGCCATTCCTTTTAAAACATTAAAAGAAATAAAATTCACTTGTTCCATGTATGGCCCCAATTCACCTTTTTTCATAGCTTGATGAAATCATTGTGTAATGAAACCCTGCCCCCTAATGACTGGATTACCCCTGTGAAAGCTTGCCTTTTGGGAGATGAATATTTGCTGTGAAAATCTAGTTGGATGGATTTTGCTCTGAGCAGGCATGCATGGAGTACATATCACGTTGGACATGTTGACTGGGACAGCACCATTTGCAACAATTAAATTATGATTTACAAATGTATACTTAGATAAGTGTGTGTTCAAGAAGACCATGTAGAAAAGTGCCTACTAAGAGAGAGAAAAACTTATATTTCAGCCAGATCTTACAGGGGCCCAAGGAGAATTTCTTAGCCTTTGTAGCACATTTATATCCAGCTGCAAGCTGTATGATTGGGGATCCAAATGCATCTGAGATCTTAGTTAAACAACTGGCTTTTGGAAATACTATACAGTTTGTCAAGAGGTCTTCCAGCCCCACTGCCAAAAGGGAACTGTATCAGATTACATCCATCTCTGTACTGAAGTCAACCCAGTGTACTCCCAAAGCATAGCCAAGGTGGCCACCTTGAAACAAATTTTACAGCCTCCTTTAAAGAAGGCCAATTCTAAGAAGCAATGCTTTAACTTTGGCAAAACAGGGCATATGGCTAGAGACTGCAGACAGTCACAAGAACAAAGAAATGTACGAGGTATTTGCCCACAGTGCCAAAAGGTCGGCATTGGGTGTGGGAATGCTATATCCAGAATGTTGTAAATGGACCACCTCTGCTTATACATCAGAAAGTGGAGGGGGACCAACCCTGACCTCACTAAATAATGAGGGTGTCACCTTTTGCTCTTGGCTCGGGATCAACAGTCACTCACTCTGGTCTAGCATCCTCATGCACAGGCCCAGTCTTGCTATACTCAGGAACAAGAATCCTGGGCCTCCACCCCACCTCAAGATTCACACTGACTCCAGAGATGAATCCACAAATGATCCCTATGGGAATTTATGGACCTCTGCTGTCAGATACAATAGGTTTAATATTGGGTAGAATTATTTTAACTCAAAAAAGAATTCAGGTATTACTGGGTGTTCTTGATGTAAATTTTAATGGAGAAATTAAAGTTGTTGCTCAAACAAATTACATTATTCATCATTCTCCAGAAGATAGCATTGCTTTTTTTTTTTGCTTTATTATTCCACAGGGGAAACTTTATCCGATGAACCCCGCGAAGTTTAGACATCTGGATCCTTGGAAAGAGCATTCTTGGCTCCATTAGTTAAGCAAGAACGCCCCCTATTGGATCTTAAAATTAATTACAAAATTTTGAAGGGTGAGATAGGTACCAGAGCTGATGTTCCTGTAATTTCCAGTAAATTCTGATCCCAGGATTGGGCTTTTCACACACCGTCTGCAGACTTAGAAGGCATTAAACAGATCTCTCAGCCTGCTCAAAGTGCTCAATACCTCCAGTGGGAAGACAAAAATGGCAATATAGACTTTTTAAACCTTACATCCTCAATACTTTGCCAGTCAATTTATGAGGGTGAGATATTATGAGCAGCTTAGGAGTTTTGTCAATAACCCCTAATTTCATGATGACATCTACCATGCCTAATGAAGGATCTATCTCCACTAAAAGATTGAAAATGAATAAAAAGGAAAGGTATTCACCTATGCCTCAGTTTTCTCAGCAAAGACAATATGGATTACTTAATACATTTAATCAGCCTTTTAAATGGGGGCATTGATCTATGTCTTCTCCAGCCCAGAAAATGACAGGAAAAAATAATTGCTGTCTGATGATCCTTTCTGGGTTGATCAATGGCCCCTTACAGGAGAAACACTTCAAGTAGCCCACAATTTAGTCCAGGAACAGCTTCGAGTTGGTCATATTGAGCCTACTCTTAGGCCTTGGAGCACTTCAATCTTTGTGGTAAAGAAAAAAATCTAGCAAATGGAGATTGTTACATGATCTCAGAGCCATTTATTGAACCAATGGGGGCTGTACAGTCTGAACTTCCTTCTCCTATGGAGATACTACTTGATTATGAATTAATACTAATAAAGATTGTTTTTTCACTATACCATTACATCCAGATGATTGTAAGAGATTTGCTTTTATCATTCCAGCTATAAATTTTAAAGAACCAGGTAAGAGATTTTGCTGGAAGTGTTGCCTCAAGGTATGGCCAATAGCTCCACATTATGTCAGCACAAGCTGTTGCTCCATTATGAGAAAAATTCCTTGATGCATCTATAATCTATTATATGGATGATATTCTTTTGACTCAGGCTACTTCAGTTATGCTTTTAAAAATTTTTGCTCAATTAGAAACTTTACTTACTGCAGTTAGTTTATGCATAGCACCCAAGAAGGTACAAAGTCTTCTCCTTTTCAATATTTTGGCAATTTAATCAAAGGATGCATGATTCATCCACAAAATCTACAGAACAGAGTTTATGGTTTACAGACATTAAGGACTTTCAGAAATTACTGGGTGATATTAACTGGTTATGGCAACATTTAAAATTATCCACTGCAGATTTGAGCCTTTGTTTCAGATTTTACAGGGAGACCCTTCTCTAAGTTCTCACCAACTTACAGCACAGGCAAGGACTGCCTTAACAAAAGTTGCAACTGCCATTAAGACTGCACAGCTTACTAGAATTAATCTACAAGAACCTATATATTTATTAACATTTTCCACTATTCATATCCCTACAGGAGCAACATGACAGTCCTTGGGAGTTATTGAATGGCGTCACCTAGCTCACTCTCCTCAAAAGTCTTTGACTTTATTTCATGATCTTATTGCTCAATTAGTTATTAAATGTAGGACATGAGTATTACAATTGGTTGGATCAATCATAATAGCCTTCTATTATTGTAACCCCCTTTTCTATCCAACAGCATAGTTGGCTCTGACAATCTTCCAATACTTGGCAAATAGCTTTTTTTTTTTTTTTTTAACCTGTCCAAGATTTTATTAGCAGGACCATAGCGGCCAGTCAAAGAGAAGGGGGTGGAGAGAGAGAGAGAGAGAAAAGAGGGAGAGGGAGAGAGAGAGAGAGAGAGAGAGAGAGAGAGAGAGAGAAGAGAAGAAGAGAGGGGGGGAGAGCGCAAACAGGGTGTTGATATTTATGGGCTCAATGCAGGATGAGGAGGAGTAGGGCAAGTGGGCTATTACTTCTTTATTGGCAGAGAGCTTGTGCCACTTCAGGGATTGGAGGTGCGCCATTCACAGGGATTGGAGGTGATGGTTCACATGCCATTCAGTGTGTCATGGACCTGAGCTCCTGGAAGAGAAGAGCTCTGGGCGCCATCTTTGCCAATATTCCTCCCTTTTTTGTTTTGGTTTGGGGGCACCGTTCTTGATCTGGCTACTTACTGCTGAGTAGGGGCGTTGTTTAGAGGGAGGGAGGGAGGTCAGTTGGTTGGAGAAGGAGGGCCAGGAGGCCCCATATCCATGCACTGAAGGCATGGATTTCCTCCAGGGAGAAGTCTATGAACAGGCCCTGCAGCTATGAAAAGAAACAACATTAATTTCTGGTATGTTGTCCAGTCTGTAGGGCTGGTAGAAAAGGCCTATATCCAGGAGAAGGCAGATTAGAACATATATAGCTGAAAACCAAGGGCTTATTTCTTTGGAATGGTGGTGTAGAGATGGCCCTTCAGCGGAGTTGTCATTTGGTATCTTCATCTTTCAACACTTGGTGGAGGTTTCTTGGGATGAGTGGATGTGAGTGTCACCCGGCTTGTTGGCAAGTAGCTGGTAATCCCTGAGAAGGAACTGATTGAAAGTTTGGTTAGAGATTTTGTTAATTTGTCCTTGAAGGAACTTTAAAATGCAAGGAAGGAAGGCACAGAATGAAAAGACCCCAACTAGATGTCCTAGTATCGGTAGACTCCAGTGGATGATGGTGTTTGTGAAGAGGTCCCAATAGGATTGTTGTGCCAATTGCAGCTTTCTTTTTTTCTAGTTGTTCCTGTAATTGTTTCTAAAAAGGGTGTGGGTATACTGTGTTGCTGTGGGTTCCTAGATTCTATCGGGAGGCCCATTCTTATGTGTGTTCCTCTACTCTGGAATGGAAGGGAGGGTGGTGTGTGACTGTGAAAAATGGAGCTTAAGAGAATTATCTGGGGGCTGGGGATGTGGCTCAAGTGGTAGCACACTCGCCTGGCATGTATGCGGCCTGGGTTCAATCCTCAGCACCACATACAAACAAAAGATGTTGTGTCCGCCGAAAACTAAAAAATAAATAAATAATATTAAAATTCTCTCTCTCTCTGTCTCTCTCTTTTAAAAAAAGAGAATTATCTGGAGATATCTCACAAGTAAATCTGGGTGATCGTGGGGGTCTTGTAAGTTTGGGAGCTGTGGTGGGATTGTCCTATGGAGGGCGTGCCACTGGTTTTAACCTAGAAATATGAATCCAGCGGGTTAGTTTCTTTCCTTCCTGTTGGAGTTTTGCAGCATTGGGTGTACACAGGACTACTTGTAATGGCCCTTCCCATTTTGGGGTTAGAGGGGATTTTTCCCCTGGGGAAGAAAAATAGACCCATTCTCCTGGTTTGAGGGGAAAAGAGGCAGCTGAGTTCTCTGGATCCGGAAGCAACAAATCTTGTTGCTTCCATAGCTCAGAGCATATAAGGAAGAGGAGGGGAAGAGCATATTGGTCATGGAGGGGCCAAGGCATTGGTGAGATTCTGGGGGAAGAGGACGACCATACATTATCTCAAAGGGGGAGGTAAGGGATGGCTTTTTTGGTAAAGCCCTCTGGTGTAGTAGGGCAAGAGGGAGGAGTTTTATCCAATCCAAATGAGTCTCTAAGACAGCTTAGTTATGATGTCTTTCAGTGTGGAGTTGGCTCACTCAACCTTACCTGAGGCTTGGGGGCGATAGGGACAATGAAAGTGCCATGGGATGGACAATGTCTTTGCCACATCCTGGGATACTTGAGAGACAAACTCAGGCCCATTGTCAGATTGGATTGAAGTGGGCATCCAAAATCA